ACATGAGTTAAGCCAAATATTGTTGCATTTTCCACTTGATTAACATAATTTTCTATTCCTGTTAAATTATATTTCTATATACAGACAACTCTCACCTATCAGCTATCCCAGTAACACTGTAAAATATACTCAAGTGAGACATGCAGGTCTGTTTTTCTAAATAGATGATTAGTTATCATCTCCACAGGAAACAGAAGCATACCTTTCCCTTAATGCTAAGTCCACCAGTGTCATACACAATTCCTTTGCCCACCCATGCAATTGTTTGGGTAGCGCCTTCAGGAGTGTGACTCAGTACTGCTAACGCAGGAGGGTGCTCTGCTGCCTTTCCAACACCATAAATACCTGAGAGGGTGAAGAAAGAAAATGGATGAATAACTGTGACCAGTTGCTGTGGCTTTGACACACCACCGCAGGTTTCTGAAAATCTTCTAGAAAATTAAATCCAGTGATCAATTTTTGCCCGCTTTTAACCTTTCTATTTGCCCATTTTTCTTCAGAAAAAGGAACGTAAACCAGAAAAGGGAGAACAAACAAATTTACAGCACAACAAAGAGATAGAGGTAATGGGGCATTTTCAAAGATCTGAAATGTTCAGACTTTTACACAAATTAAGCTTTGACCCATGTTTTGACTTACAGGCACAGTTTTCTATAGGTGCCCATTTTAGTCCTTAAAGAATAAGTCAATTTTTCATTGAGTGCATTTTTGCTACTACAGCCTGCCACTGATTTGTCCTTTTAGGATCATATTTTAGCTAGCACTTCATTACGGCCTCTTATACGTAATACTAAAACACCAAAATAATATATAGCCTAGCTTCAAAATATGCTACTAGGGATCAGTCCCAAAAATCCATCACTCTGGTGTCCCTAGGGAAATCTCAACCAAGTATTTCCTGTATATATGCATGTTTAGTATTTGAGGTGTAAAAAGAAATGTATTAGATTTTTTTTCTAAATTCTCTCCATGCTTTAAAGCTTGTTGAAGATTGTTGGCGTCTTCAGTTGAAACCAGACACAGTGAACAGCAGAGCTGACTTTCTTGTTTACCATTTAGAGTTAGGGTTGCACCACGAGTCTCTCTAGCTAAAGCACACTCAACAAAAAAGTTTGACATAGCAATTCTGGAGAACTGTGACAATTCAAGCTAAAAATAAAGCACACAGGCATGCGCAGAGGTCGTACCTCCAAACCCTTTTTGTTTCAGTTCCTCTCCACGAATGATAACTGGAGTGATTCCAAGTTCATTCCCCACAGCCCTGATTTCCTGAAACAGAAATTTATGGCTGTGATGAAAAACTGCAGTAGAAATATTAAAACTAGTTTTAACAGATTTCAACCCTCCTTACTTCTAAATTAAAAATTAAAAAGTATTAAAGTGTACATAAAAAAGTATTGTCGATATGTAAGTGATGCAATGGGTTTGCGAAATTAACTCCTGATATTGTAAACAAATATCTTAAGATATTCACTTTCTGTTACTAACATCAATAAATAGACAACAGTTTGACTTAACTTTATAGCCTAATGTGAGGATGGGCAAACTGAAATGAGGACACAGAAGCTTAACAGGTAACGTTTTCATGGAAACGTGTTACAGGTTAAAGTTTATGCAAATCAGAAACTTTCACTTACATCTAAGAAGTGATCTGTGTTCATCTCATTGCATGGAGTGTCCACAATGCGAGCGCTCAGTCGAACTCCATCAGCAGCGTTAGAAAGACACTGAACATGGGAAGGAAAACAAAGGCCATTAAGTGATGGCAGACCACCCACACACACAAAAAAGGCAATTATGAGCAGCACTAACAATTAAAACCCAAAACTTTAAAGTACCTCAAGCTCTGCAGCCTCCAGAGGATTGGCATCTTGCCCAACAATCACAAACTCCACGGTCACATGCTTCTTCTCAGTTCTGCGTGAGGATGCGGAGCGGCGAGAGAAGATGGGGAAGGCCCGGGCCATAGCACAGGAGGATGCAAACACATCTGAGCGCTCACACACCATCTGGAGAGCAGATGTGTTAGCCACTTCGTGAAGCAAACAACCTCACCACTGGATGACCCAGATTTGAGTGCCATGGGACTCCCAGAAGTCCCATGGCACAGAAAGCGGGCATCTATAAAGAACAGATTTGTTCTGTAGCTTAAAGTAACCTCTGACTTCCCCGAAGAACAAACAGGAAACAATTCTGATTGAAAATACTGACCACAATGCAGCGGTTATTCCCTCCAGGAAGGCAGGAACGGACCAGGCGGGACACAAAGTGGGCAGAAGACGGGCTGTTGTGCCTGCTGACCCTTGAGGGAATGGCGGCCACTGTGGCATAGTTGAGGTACAGGGGGCAGCTGTCCGTGGGATTTGGATTTAAAGCACTTAGAGCTGCCTGCCAGATCTGAGAAAACATGAGGAAAAATTGACATTTCTGACTCACCACAAAGATGTTAAAGCTTTGAAAAACATTTTTTGTTAAATCCTCTAATTCTTTTACTCTTTGTAAACTAAGTACAAGCAGTCTGGGAAATCAACAATCTCTGATGATGTAATAATAATCCACTATTAATATTAAATATGTTACTCCAGATGTTTATGACAGGAATCTACAAAGCGGTTTTGGGAATGTTTTGGAAAGACTATAACCAGTCAGCAGTATGTACACAGTGCTTCCACCAGATTAAAATCAGAGGCAAGTGAACCAGTAGGTGATGGGAATTTGAGATACTGGGTTTGAAAAATTCCTAGTGTCACAATGTTTCCAGATGCTTTCACACTTATCACCTTAGAAGGTACATACACATGCTCAGAATAATCAGAGCGCTTCATGGAGCAGGCCAACAGTGTCTCAGCAAATCATTGTACACAAACAGTCCGACGCTGATTGGAAAACTGTCACACTCAATGACTCTGAGCGTATTAGTCTGCCCACCAAATCCACCACCAGTGATCTAATCACTCACCAGGAGCACGTTGGACAAACTCCATCGACAGTATGTCGATTATGTTGAAAATAAGTTTACACATATGCGATATGCTGCAGTAGTACAGCATTAGTTATCTGGATACTGAAGACTGGGACTTTAACCTCGTCAATGCTCCAGTTGCAAAATCCTATTCGGAGACAGGTTAATGACCACTGTCTGGGTTTAAGTACTGCTTTTCTAACCTACAATCATCCAGGAGTTGACAGCCGGGCAACCGTGGAAGTAAGCAAAATACGAATTACTGGTATTGGTGTTGTGAGATTTACTTCTACGGTCATACTAATAATAATTGTGATTATGACAATAATAATGATAATGGGGAAAAAAACCTAAAACAAATAAGACCGCAAACATCTCTTGACTATTGTAGCTCTTAGCTTACTAAGTAGCCTACACTGACACCGATATAGCTTTGCCCTTTGGACTCTTTTTCGCTAGCTGTGTCATGAAATAACTTAGCTGTGCTAGCTTTTGCTAACTTTTGCTTAGCGTGACGCTAACATTAGCCGGTACCGAGCTTTTGTTATCATTTATAAGATTACCTCTTTGCTAACGACCGGCTGGAGTTTTCCTTTGATCTGGCTCCAGCTGACCTGCTGCAGGTTGGTGTGCTGCCCGATGATCAGGACAGGGCGACTCTGTGGCTCTGAATCACCGGCAGAAACCTTAAACTCCAGCACCACATTCGCCATTTTGGTGACTGAAGGTGCTCAAGTGGACGGCGACGGACACCCCGGACCGGCGACGGCAGCCGGGTGAGGACAGGCTTTAGTGACGTGCTGCGATTTTTATCGACCTCCAGGCACCAGGTGGAACAATATAAGAGCAGACTGTAGTGATTTACACCAAAGTTAATGTAGTAGTAATAATAACAAAAGCTAAACCAAAACGATTTTTCTTTGAACAATTTAGTCCTATAAAATAAACTAAATAAATAATCCAGGAAATGAAGGAAGCGTGTTTTGGTTTTTTTGGCCATCCACAGGTCAAAATTTTATTTGAGTTACCTCAAAATGTCCCACTAGGTATCATAACATTTCGAATTAATCACAAGTTTCAAATTTTGGCTCTAAATACAAGATTCGTGGAGACCATTTAGAGGGTTGGTGTGATAGAGGAATAGTGTAACACACAGCTCCAGAGCTACTGTGTAGAGGTCTGGGGAAACACATACAAAAGTAACACACAAACAATAACTATAATACAGAAAAGGGCCATTAGATTAATAAATAATGTAGGGTACAGGGACCATACAAATGCACTCTTTGTCAAAATGCAAGCTATTAAATTCCAAGACTTGGTGAAGCTTAAAACAGCGCAAATAATGTATAAAGTAAGAAATAAATTGCTTCCCAAAGAAATCTGTAAATTGTTCATAGAAAGAGAAGGTGGGTATAACTTAAGAGGGAAATGGAATTTAAAAATACAAAGTGCTAGAACAACTTTAAGAACTATGTCTATCTCAATTGCTGAGTTAAATTATGGAACAGTCTAACAGAAGAAATAAAAGACAGTCAAAACATAAAACAGTTTAAAGTAAAATATAAAAACCTAATTTTAAATAAGTATAAGAATGAAGAAAACGGGGTTAACCCAGGACGGTAATGTTGCTGGTAATGGTGTTGCGGTTCTTTTTTGTTTTTTTGTTTTGGTTTGTTGTTTTTCCATAACTTGTGTATCTGCAAATATACACATTCTGTATTTTTCATATGAAAGAAACTATACTGTGGTGGGGCTTGCTAATTTCTTGTTTTTGATTTATATATGTTATGTTTTGTTTTACTTCATATGTTTCATATGTTGTTTGTTTAAGACAAAAAAAAAATTAAATGAATGAGAGGTAAAACTTGAGGGGGTAGGGACAAATAAGTAAATACTTCAGCCTACTCCTTTTCAAACAAATAATGGAATTTTGTAATGATTGTGAAGGCACATGTTTGAAATGTTTGAAATAAAAATGAACTGAACTGAACTGAAGATTAGCTAAAGATCAGGCTATAACAAATCAACAAAACTAAAAGTAATATTTAATACAATAAAAGGGTAACAAGCAAATTCATTCAAGAAACTAACTGAACTGAAAACCAAAATTAAAAAGATTTTCATATAAATCTAATCTGATGTATTCAAAGTTTTGTTGACAAAAATGAATCGAGCCAGCACAAAAATCTGTTTCCTTACACAGCGGGCATCATCTCTAAGGAAGAACACAAGGGTGCAGACAAGACGATGAGCCCAGATCGGTGCTTCCGTTTATCAAACTCTAATAAGATTTTGAAATAATAAAATAAAGACAGCAAGACTTCTTCAGATGGTGGTGATTCATTTATTCCGGCCTATTATGAATGCCAGCCACAACCAAACCACACTTTCAAGCTGTGACATCCTCAAATTTGAGTAACTTGTACGGAAGACACAGTTTGCTCACATGAAACGCTGCAACAGGGCAATTCCTGAAGTTATTCACAACATTTCACTACACATTGTGTTTAGAAATGCCTAACAGATTTTTTTCTCCCTATTTTAATCCAAACACAACACCATAACCCTAGGAAGGATGCCCTCATTAAAATGTAAACTTTGATGTCAGAGTGCAAATAGTTTAAAGGCATTTTAAGATAACACAGCGGCTATAACTAGGAAGAAAATATCTTTTGGATAAATGGCATCTGCTGAGCTGCAGGTCTGGCCTTTGACTTCGACTTAAAAAAAAGGCAAACATTTGATGCACAACACTATTTATAAAAAGTTTGATCTTTAAAGAGAGAGGCAGTGAGGCTTGTTTGTAGCAGCACAGATAATTTTATGTATCTAAATTAATTTGTGGTCACCAATTTTCTTTATAACAATGACAAAAGTTTGTAAATGTTTAACAGGAAAAGATCAACGCTAGCTCCTGAACACGTGCTGTGACTCTGGGTTTCTTCCCCACTGAGATCTTGTATAGAAAAAAACAAAACCCCTTATAACTCACCTAACTGTTCATGCTTTACTGATTAAATCAAACATGAATTTTGATAATACAGCATGTCATTAAAACAAACAAAAAAACAAGCAGGGTATCTGTTAATTCCAACTTCTCAAATGTGTGTGTTTGTGATAGATTATAATCATCTTTGGGTCTTTAAACGTTTATGAGAAAAAAATAATTCAAAGATGCTTTGGGACTCGAAATTAATTCAACAATTACCATTTCTACTCGACATTTAAAGCCTTGTGAAATTTTTTAAATGTATTTAAAGTGTTCACAGCAACTAATGCGTTGATTATTTATTTGACATTTCTCTGTCTGGATTATTGAACTGATATACTTTACTCATAGTTTATACGAGTAACATCCAGTCTGAGCAGTGCTTGTTATTGCACCGGGATTACAGTACACACTGACCTGAGGTTAATCCAATAATTTGGGATTTTCAAGGTTAACTTCATTTTAACAGTGCTATATACACTAAACTTGTTAAATTCTCATTTAATCTATAAACATGCTTATGGCTGGTAGGCTAACTGAAGTTTTAAATCATGATAATATCAGAATAATAGGTGGCTTTTTATCAGTGTAGTGTTTGCTACACCCTGCGTAGGATAAGAAAATAGTGCTATTAATTGCATAAAAGGTTTACAGCACCTGTTAGATATATTAAAATATTTATATTTAGAAGCAGCATCTAGTAATATGAAAACTAAGCCACTACGCACACACGCACACACACAGACACTAAACACCTGAGCATCTGTGCACTCGTATCAACTGAAGACAAACATGGAGTTTTGAGATTATGTTGCTTAAATAAAAGTAAATACTGATAGTGGATGAGGTTCAGGTGGGGAGGCTTGTGTTGTGTGCTTATTTTAAACCTTCCATTCATATCTAAAGATTAGTACTTCATTAAAATAACTACACTCTTAATAGAGAGAATAATGTGAAAGCTAATATTAGAGTAAGACTAGGTTTTATGCTACTGGCGAGCAAGCATATGCTGTCATGTATAGAAATGGCATGACACGAGAGACAAAAAGCTATGCATGACCACAGGTGTTCATGGTGACTTTGGGTTACGCTGGGATGAAGCTGCATTTTTGTCACAAAAGTGGCTTACAGGCTAACACTGACTGACAGTGTGAATTTGGTTCTGTGCTCAGGCATGGCACAGGTTTCCACTGGCCCCGCAGGAGGCAGCGATAGTGCAGTTCTTCAGGATGGGGCTGAAGTGGGAGGCTGTGTTAGGACCAGCCTCTCTGGGAGGGAAAGGCTTCATGGTGGAAAGGATGAGGGCCAGACACTCTGCTACGTTTTTGTTCGGGGCACAGGCCAGAGCTGGCGTGTGGCCTGCAGAGGATAAAACGGCAAATCAGTAACCCACACAATCCTCCGCAGGTTGAACATACCTGCTTTGGTATTCTTATCACAGAAATATAATCCCAACCTACCTTCCTCATCTACAGCCATGACTGCTGCTCCTCTGCTCAGTAACACCTGCACAACAGTCGCCAGACCTTTCCTTGCTGCAATGTGAAGCGGCCTGCATGAGAATAAAAGGTCTGACTACAGTGCACTGAGGACAGATTAAACTACAGTGAGATTTATGTTTTTCAGAACAGACATTCAGATTTGTCACATTTTCTCTTTGTCTGCAGAACAAGGCATGACATCGTGTTAACACACAACTGAATGCTCCAGACTGGCAAAACTGCCAAAACCTTCCCTTTTATAGAGCTGCTCATGCTTGCTGAGAATCAGTTAATCAATTTTATTTGATTAGCACCACCTGGAAGCAGTAAGAGTGCACTTTGCTGCTTGAAGACCTGCTAAGGATAAGACTATTTTTTTATTTTGTCAGGGAAGGTGTATTTTCTTTTTACCATGATTATATGTTTCTGGGCTTCCAGTGTGGCCAGCCAATAATACTTGGACAACAAACAGAAACCAGAAACCTTCTTGTGTCTCTGCAGATAACTGTTTATGGAGATCAGCTGACTGCTACGTCAAGACAACTCACATTTGGAGAGCGTTGTTTCTTGCATTTATGAGTGAGGAATCGGTGATCTCTCCCAGGATTAACAAGGCACACATCTCATGACCCTGCAGAATAAAGCATGTTAATGTTGTTAAAACCATCCGCTTTATTCACTGAAATTCAAAACAAGTACTTAGTATTATGAGCCATGCATATGCAGGTTTCATATAAGAAAAACTACTATTAGAATTAGTTCAAATTAAATCAGAATTATACTCCAGACAGGCCGACAAACAACAGTTATGATACATATTAAACTTGATTTTCATGCATTACATTTCTAATCACCTTCTGTGACGGATGTTAAACTGATCTCCTGCTACACTCATGCAACTATTTGTGTGACACTGCATGCATTTAGTGCACCCATTTGTTTGTGTGTATGGGACCTTGCTGCAGGCTAAGTGAAGGGCTGTGCTGTTATTGAAATCCACCAGGGTCAGGTCTGGGGTCGCCTTGTTCAGCAAGAACTCTGAAATACAGGAAGTAAACATCAACAAACCCAGACTACTACACCTCAAGCTGTTGGTTGGTGTTTTCACATGACAGTGCAACAGTGGAACAAAGTGGTTTATTAAAAGAAACCATCACTGAGGGATGTGAGAAAAGAAGCTCTCCAGCTCTAAATAGTCTAGATAGTTTTTAAAGGTTTCCAGGTGCGGAAAGAAACAAAAACATTTCAAAGGACTTCCTTGTTTCACACATACCAACAGCTCTGGTCTGTCCACAGGCAGCAGCAACCATCAGAGCAGAGCATCCACAGTGGTCCACAGCATTAACCTGTGCTCCCTGGGCCAGAACCAGCTGCAGCCCAGCAACGTTCCCTGAATATGCAGCAGCATGCAGTGGGGTCCTGAACTCAAGCAAGGAACACATCAAAATACTAGATGAGCAGAAATGTTCACAGCCCACGAAGGAGAAAACATTGTCCAGTTTGGGAAAGGTGATGCAAAAAAATAAAAAAATCCATTAAAACCGAATCATACAAAATAACTTGTAGCTTTAGTAGTAGCCTGAGTAGAGCCTTTTTATGTAATATAGAGAAAAAAATAAATAAATCACACTGTACATCTCAAATTAGGCCACTTTTAAATGAGTAGCAATCATAAAAAATAATATGAGCAGTGTATTATGACTGCTGGGAAATGTATGCCACATGTAAAATAAACCTAAAACTATTACATTAACTTTACTGACACCTGCTGGCTGTGTTGTATGAAACCGTCTGAATGAAAGTTACCTACCTTCCTTTGGCGTCACTAATGCTGACAATTTGAGGGCCAAAAGTCTTCACTAGAAGGTCTGCTGCAGCTTCGTGCCCTTTAACTCTGCACGTGGCAAACAGAGGTGTTTAAAATGTGAAGAACTACACTAAATTTATTTAAGCTGACTTCTAAAAAGCATGTGTGCGCACATAATAACTCACAGAGCACAGTGCAATGGGGTGAAGAGACTTCCTTCCTGGATGCTAAAAAGTTTGTTTTCAAGTAAAATGCATAAACATCCTTCATGACCTAAGAAAGGTTGGAAACAAATAGAGACATAATTGATGTTTACATTTTTATTTAAATGACTTAATACACAATAAAACGCAATGGCTCTTGATACACAAAAATGATGTATGAACAGGCAGGTCTATTGTGTTAAAACGGCTTAATTATAAACTGCTCATTTGACATGAAGTGCTGCTCTGATGTCTCACCATGGTAGGCAGCCCAGTGAGTGGGTGTGTAGCCTTTGTAGTCCAGCATGGAGTCCAGAGGGTCAGCTTTCTTTGCAGCCTTTAGCAAAGAGCGGAGCAGCTCCGTGTGACCACAGGATGCTGCGAGGTGCAGCGGGGTCCTCCCCCTAGAGTCTCGGCACAGAGCAGAAGCTCCATGTTCCAGCAGAGCAGACACACACTCCTCACTGCCCATTATGACCTGCAGGATGAGTCATGTGACAGGAGGCACGAGGGTGGTGGTAAAGGTATAATCTTCTATTTGCAATAATTGTTGAGTGCAATGAAAAAAAGTGGCGTGCGACATGCACACACTTACAGCTCGGTGTAAAGCAGTGAAGCCTTGTTTGTCTGCAGCATCAGGCTTTGCATTTTTCTCCAGCAGTATGTGGACGCAGTCGGTGTGGCAACCGAGAGCTGCCAGCATGAGAGCAGTCCTGTACAACAAGCAGAATTCAGTTGTAGGCATGATTCTGTCACTTCAACTATCTGCTGATTTAGGCTACGTTCACACTGCAGGCGAAAGCGCATCAAATCCCATTTTTTTTGAACCTATGCGATCCATATCCGATCATGGTATGACAGTGTGAACGGCACAAATCCGATATTTTCAAATCCGATCTGGGTCACTTTCGTATGTGGTACTGAATCCGATACATATCCGATGTTTTAGAAAGCGACTGCTGTTTGAATGGTCATGTCGCATTAAATCCGTCTTTTACGTCACTGACACAAGACAGACGCCAATTATCAGCTCCGGAGAAGCGCCCGAGATGACATCGTGAACGCTTCCTGGCCATCCAGTGTAGATGTCAGTGAAACTGTTGGGAAGACAACGTTGGAGAAACGCTAACATTTTATTTATACTGTATAATCTGCAGATTCTGACAGAAATCTGCAACTATCCTTTGAAACACCGCTCCTCTAAAACAGCAATAAGGATAATTATTAGGTTATCTACATTATTATGTAAATAACAAAATAACTTAAAGCAAAAATTGGGAAACGTAAAGTCCGAAGTCTTTATATTAAGGGCCATGAGTCAAACAATATTGTTTGCTCTGGGTCTAAACAGAGCGCGTTGTGTGTGACGTCTTCTTTTGCGCATGCGGGCCGCTTTGAGCGTTCACACTAGAGCGTGTTTGCTGTCGCATTTTATTTGTAGTGTGAACAAGCAGACAAAAATATCGTATTTGATCAAAAAATTGGAATTGAGCATTGAGACCTGCAGTGTGAACGTAGCCTAAGACTCATGTGGTGAATCTTTGTAGAACCTAAGAGGCTGTTTTATAATCAGTGCCAGCCCAATAAAAACTAACACAATACTGGGACTATTTTCTCCTCACAGGTCTTCACTCCTTGTGGGGATCAATGTTCCCTCTAAGCTGCGCACGTGCGCAATTGCGCACTGCTGGCACGGTCTCTGCGCAGGACTGACAGAACAATTGACGGAAAAAGTGTGGACTTTATACCAGTTTTTAAATTGTGTTGATAAGCCACGTAAAACCAGAGTTATGATAAATATTATCTGCAATGTTTGGGTTTCTTCCTGAATACTATCGTTGTTTATATTTACTGCGGGAAGGAATGGTAAAAACGGCATCTTATAAGGAAAACGCTTGAAAGCGCTCTCCGCTTGGTCATTACATTGGTCATTATATACTATATTTTGCAGACAGAGTTACAGGACTCTCTTCCAGACCACAGACTCATACTCATTATACAAGTCAGAGCTTTATAAAAATAAAAAAAAAGAAAGAAGGTTGTGTTTTCAAAATTGGAGTTCAAGTTATTTTCGCTCATATGGTGTCTGAGCGAACACACTCAGACACATTGTGTTCCCGTGGTTTTTTGTTTTTTCAACCAAAGCTAATCATATTTGACACTCGAGTTTTTCACTTCTTTTTACATTCCCTCACATATGTTCCAGTAGTTTTTGCAAAACAGTAGCCAGAAATGCACAGGAGGAATCGATGGTAAGAAACAGGCCAATCACAATAGCCTCAGACTGCATGACACGATGACTTTTGTGCCACCTTTTCACAGAAGCATAAATCCCTCATGGTTATTTGCATCCTTTTGCGGTTTCTCGTAGATGTTCAATACTTAATTGTTTATCTTCTTATTTTATTTTACTACCTTAAAAGACAATTTATTATCAATATACACAACCATTGCTTTAATGTCTGATAAAATCTGTTCCTTTCTGCGCTTACCTTGTTATCACGCAATCAGTATCAGTTTAATGAAAATTAAATCTGGTTGGACCATGACACACACTGCTGAAGACTATTTACTTTATAAGTGTCATGTCACAATAAATAATTAAAATCGCCCACAAATAACCATGTTTACGTGACTAATAAATAAATAAATACACGGAACAGAAATGAAAAGATGCAAAGTGACTCACTGTCCCCGTGTGTCTGGGCTGTCAATGATGTCAGCACTTTGTTCCATGTTAACTAACAGGAGGATACAGTCCACTTGGCCCTCAGCAGCTGCTCGAGCAGAAGGGACACAAAGATAAAAACATAAGTTTAAAAGAAAAAACAAATCTTAACCAAAAAGCTGCATTGTTTACTTTCAGAACAAAATCAACCCAAATTCATCAATGGGGCACTAAAAAATACAAGATAAACACACTTAAGCATTATTGTATGGGCACAAATATGTACTGAGATGCACACACCTGCAGTGTGAAGAGCTGTCCACTTGTGCTTGTGCTCCTTCAGTGTGTAGGAGGCTTGATGTTTCAACAGTACTTCTACACATGGGGAGAAGCCCTTCTGAGCAGCGAGGTGGAGGGCAGTTTGGCCTTCAATGTCCCGCACATCCAGACTCACTAATGTCTCACAAAGCAAACGTAGAGCTTCACAGTGGCCAAAATATGCCTGCAGTGACAAAATGCATGAAGACAATACAGTTGAAAGCATGTAAACTAGCAGGACCTCTGCTAGTTGCATAATTTTCAAGGTTTTTACTTTATACTCACAGCTAAGTGCAAAGGGCTGACTGGAACATTACTTTCAGCCTCCTCAAGACAGTTGAAAGAAATTTCCAAGAGCTGGAAAAGTAACAGAATTCCAAATAGGTCCAGATTGCAGTCAGTTAAAAAGAAAATGTATGAACTAAATGAAAAATGAGAAGACACCACTGACCAGCTCTAAATGCTGTTTGTTCCCATAAGCAGCTGCATAGTGAACGGCACTGTATCCCTTGCTGTTCTTCAGAGTTGGGTTCGCCCCGTTGTCAAGCAAGTAGTCTAAACACCTGAACGAAACAAGTTCACAGTCTAAACACTTAAACTTTACAAGAGTTTAATGTACGTTAATGTACAAGTCTGTGTCTTTATGAACTAACGTCAAGTTCCATTAAAGTCATTTTTCTGTCCTCTGATTTTGTTCCTATCAACTCTTTAAATAATTCCTGATAAAGAACATTACTAAAAGTTACCCCAACTACCTCCAATTGTCTCTGTAATTTTAATTTAAAATGATAATTACTCTAGATTCTGCATGGTAAAGCACAAACAGTATAATATATAAATGTGACGTATATGACTTACAGAGAGGCTTCATGTTGCTTTTCCACGTTGACGTCTGAGTCAGAGTTTGGACCCCCTCTGTGGAAAAAAAGATGAGCACTTTTTAAGCTGCTTCAACAAGGTGCCGGAAACATTCCTCATATTGGTCCATAACAGCATCACACAGTTGCTGCTGATTTGTCGCCTGCACATCCACAGTGAGCATCTCTCGTTCCACCACACTCCAAAGGTGCTTTACTGGAAGTCGTCTGAGTGCAGTGAACTCATTGTCATGTTCAGGAAACCAGATTTCAAGCTTTGCCACAGATTGTGTTATCTTGCTGGAAGGAGCCATCAGAAGATGAGTATACTGTAAACATCGTCAGGAGCTATACTCATGTAGGCTGTGGTGTTTAAAAAATATTAATTGGTGCAAAATGGTCCAAAGCGAGTCAAGAAAATTCTGCCACACGTTACACCACCATCAGCAGCCTGAACGATTTATACAAGGTAGGATGGATCCATGCTTTCATGTTGTTGAGTGAAATGTGCAAATTTAAAATGTCAGTAAAGACTCTTACCCAGAGAAGGTGTGTGAAGCAGCAGCATAGTGCAGGGGGTTGCAGCCCGTCAGATCCAGCTCATTGACATCTGCACCAGCTCTCACCAGGGAGATGGTGCACTGGCTGTTCCCATTTGCTGCAGCGTAGTGCAGAGGAGATCTGCAAAGCAAAACAGGACACATCAGGTAACACCAAAGTTCAGTTCTTACCTCCAGCCATTCAGGACTACTTACCTTCCCAAATTGTCTTTTATATCCAGCTCAGCACCGCTGCTTAACAGCAAATTAACACACTCGACATTCCTGCAAAATAAAAAAAATAAAGACTTCAACTGAGAACCAAGTGTCTCACAAGTGCAGTGCATAGCTAAATGGTAAATGGCCTGTATTTATATAGCGCTTTACTAGTCTCTAAGGACCCCAAAGCGCTTTACATATCCAGTCATCCACCCATTCACACACACATTCACACACTGGTGATGGCAAGCTACATTGCAGCCACAGCCACCCTGGGGCGCACTGACAGAGGCTGCCGAACACTGGCGCCACCGGGCCCTCTGACCACCACCAGTAGGCAACGGGTGAAGTGTCTTGCCCAAGGACACAACGACCGAGACTGTCCAAGCCGGGGCTCGAACCGGCAACCTTCCGATTACAAGGCGAACTCCCAACTCTTGAGCCACGATCGCCCAATAGCTCACAAATATTTCTGAAGTTTATCATTTAAGCTCATTTTCTGTTGATTTATTTCTGCCTCAAACCTTATGACTCGGAAAACAACACAACAAATAATTGGCATTACGATCTTTACAATAGTTTTACCCTCCTTTGACATTCGTAGTGTATCACCGACTGACCTCTGTGTTGTTGCTGAACAACACAGAAAATTCACAACATTACTATGTTCTGAAATTTACACAGCTACTGATAACTAATAATACTTGTCATACATGGATGCACTTATAATTCAGACTTCTATTTACAAGTGCACGAGGACAAAATTGTGCCAGCTATTAAAAGCATTTACTTAAGAGTCTGCACCACTCACCCTCCAGATGCAGCTGCATGCAGGCACGTCCTTCCATGATCATCTAACATGTTTATGTCGAACCCCACACTTTGGTCATTCGTCAGCATTGGCGCCATGTTGTAAAACTGGCCTGAACAAAGACGAACAAGAGAAACGAGCTGGTGTTAGTAATTAAAATGTAACAAGAAAGAAATGTGATTCTGAAACGGGGTGACTCAAAACAGATTCTCACCGTTAGACAGTAACTTGCGACAACAGTCTGGAAAGCCGTAGAGCGCCGCCAAATGCAGTGGAAGCATCCCATTAATTCCCTGTCTGCAGAGATGATGACATTGTTACGTTTGGTAAGTATGTGCCAAGTTGGAAAGCTACTTGACAGCGACAGAGTCACTGCAAGGGGGTTGCGAGGAGGCAAGGATGTCATAATTTTGAATACATTTTATACAACTGATCAATGACTCACAGACCTACCTGCCTTTATCAGCACCGTTTGTCAGCAGAGTACTGACCAGCAGCTCCTGACCATGTCTGGCAGCAACATGAAGAGGAGCGTTTCCATTACTGTCAACACAATCGATCTCTCCCCCTGTGTAAGTGGGAGGGAAAAAAATGCGTGGATAGGTGTCTCTCGAGCTTAGATATTTTAAGAACGCTTTTCATTATCAGTCACATTACACAAAATTTTGCACTTTGTTACCATTTTGGATGAGAATCTGCGAGCCAGTGAAGCGTCCGTGCATTGCAGCCATATGTAAAGGGCTCATGTCTTTCTTATTCTGTTTATTAGACAAAAAGAAAACATTCAGTCTTCCAGCCAATTATCCACTCAACCAATAATGATTATTTTCTTATTTATCATCCTTTTAACCTGTACGTTGACATCAGCACCATTGTTGACTAGGAGCTCAAGACACAACACCCCGCTGGAGGAGGCAGCTGCCAGATGTAATGGTGTGTTGCCATTGTAGTTGGGTTGGTTGATGCTGGCGCCACTGTTCACCAGTTCAGTGGCCACAGTGTCTTGCCCTGTGTGACAGGCCATGTGGAGCGCTGTGTTCCCAAAAATGTTGGGCTCATCAATCTGGAAGCAGATATCAAAATATATAGACAAATACATAAACCGATGGAGTATAAAACAGTTTGCTGTAAATAACAAGAGCCATATGCCCAAGAAATACTGCAGATTATATCAGTGGGCGGCTGACGTAGATCATTGTATGTGAGGTTTTAAAAAAGAAATAAAAAATGTAAAGAAGTTTTTGCCCCCTTCCAGATTTCATATTTCAGATCATCAAAAAATGTAATATTAGACAGATAACCTGAGTAAATACAAACTGCAGTCTTTAAATTATGATTTCATTTATTAAGCGGGAAAAGGTATCCAAATCTACTTGGCCCTGTGTGAAAAACACTATTATAGCCATTTATAAATGGCTAAAAATGGAAATGTTAACTCTTTCCAGACTTATCATCAGTTGTTGAGTTTCTTTAGCTCGCTGCATGATGCCTTTCTTTTTGAGATCTTTTAGCCTGTTTCACTTTGTCAGACAGGTTCCATTTAAGTGACTTGATTCAGTGGGTCTGGCACTAATTAGGTCTGGGTGCAGTAATGAACTTGAACTCAGCTTTCCAAAAAAACATGATTATTCAGTTATTTCATAGTGCAACAAGGGCGGGCATTAACTTTTTCAAACAGGGCCAGGTAGGTTTGAATAGTTTTTTCTTTCTTCATAAATGAAATCATTATTTAAAAACTACATTTTGTATTTACCTTGGTTATTTCGGTTTAATTCTGTCTAATTAAAAAAATTTGATGATCTGAAACATGTAAGTGTGACATATGTGCAAAGAAAAAAAAAGGAAATCAGGAAGGGGGCAAGTACTGAATTTATGCATCTATTTTGGATTCACTCACAATGCAGCAGCATAAGTGTTGGTACAGCCTGGAAAACAACATAAAGCCAATCCTGGAGCTCCACACAACACAAGTTATTTATGCCTAACCTTTTATCAAACCATTTATTACCACTGACTGTCTGGTTTGGGGTTTAAAATTGAGCAGAAAGTGTCTGCTCAATTTTCTGAAAAAGAAACTCAGCAGAAAGCTTAAACATATTTCAAACTTTTTGTCCTGCACATAATAAACCAAACATTAAAAAAATACCAACTATATCCTCCTGAGATCCAGCTTATTCTTTTATTCCTCTGTAATGGAAATTTGTTTTGATTATCTTTTGATTTATTTAAGCTAACCTACTAAGTCCTGATGTGCTGAACAGAGGACATCCTGGGCTTTTCATTGACATCTCATGGCCTCTTTTAGCGCCAAAGAGGCAGCAAATCACAACAAAAAGTTAAACTGAAAGATACTTTTTTGTCTTCGGTTCTTCGGAGGATATATTGTGGGAAAAGCAATGTATCCCAACCACAGTAGACTTTACCTCCACCCCCAGTCTCAGCAGATATTTGACTACGTCTAAATGTCCACCGGCAGCTGCAACGTGGAGTGGAGTGTAACCACGCTTGTCTTTGCACATCACGTCTCCACTGTGAGACAACAGCAGCTTCACAACCTCCAAATGTCCTTAGAAAAAAAAAGAAAAAAACAAGAGCGAGAGATTCATATTTGCTACAAATATTTGTGATGCTAGTACATCTCAACACTTGCTAGTTACACAGCTGGATTAAACGGCACACAGTCTGGCCAACAGCTGGTCTCATTTGAATACACTGGTTATGTGTTTGGTAGCATTTGAATGCATGTGTGTTATCTTGTCTATAAACAAGAAAAGTTTTGAATGAATTCTGATAAAACTTCAAGGTCAACTGAATAATTTACTGGTCGAAAGTTGACAGAAAGACTTGTAACTTAGAAACTATGATTGTTACAAGTGTGGTGTGTATTGTCAACATATAGAAACTACTGTATAAAGATTTAAAATATCTCACATTTAAACCTCTGACCTCTCCTTTCTGTTAAAGGACTCTTGCACACTTACAATTGTGTTTTCAGCCAAGCACAAAACATACACTGGTGATGACAACAGAAAGTGTTATTTTATCCCAAAAGCATCCCACTGTTAAGGTCAAGGCCAATCCCTTCCAGTTTGTACATACTGTTAGTTACTAGAAGACTTCTGTTATTCTTTAAAACTCATAAAAGAAAATTAAATTCAAGATACATTTGTGTCTGTTAGGAGCGTCTCTACTCACCGAGGGATGCAGCCCAGTGGACTGCTTGCCTTTCCTTCTTGTCCTTGGCACATGCATTTGCACCTTTACGCAGGAACACGTTCACCATCTGTTAAAGGCACAATATCAGGATGTAGCCACTTCATCTATGTAAACTCATCTATGCTGATGAATACAACCTAACAGGTAATTTTTTTTAAACGTGCTGCAACAATTACCCAAACCCCAGAAACGTATCATTCACTTTCCTAATGGAAATCAACGTAAAATGTTATATATGTAATAATATAAAATATCATAAATGTTACCTATTAAAAAACACCAAATAAAAAGATAGCTTTTAATAGTTTTAAAATAGTTAAACGTCAGTAAGAAGACTCTTCAGCTTACCTCCCCATGACCACTGTGCGCTGCATGATGTAGCGGTGTCCTTCCTGACTTGTCAGTTACATCCAGGCTGCAAACATGTGGTATCAGGGCTTTGGCACAACCTGTAGCCCAGTTTGCAGCTGCCATGTGCAGGGGTGTATGCCAGAACTTGTCCCGTGCATTAACCTCTACTTTGTGTTTCAGCAATAGCTCCACAGCCCTCTGACAGGAAAAACAAAATAAAAGGTAAGTTTAACATTAAGAGCTAACTGTCACTGACTTTTTAAAATTCATTTGACAATAGTAATTTACTTCATTTCTTGAGGCAGCTGCTCGGTGTAAAGGAGTCAGCAACCCCTGGTCCTTGGCGTTGACATTTGCACCTGTAAGAGAGCACAAAAAAGCAAAACTAGGTTTTATTGCTTGTGCAGTTTTGAGGTATTACAGTTCTTTTGCATACGACTAATTTATATCAGTCATTACAACAAATATTTTGTTCTTACAACCACACAATTTTTTTTGTCTTTTACCTGAACTAATAAGTAGGTCCATAACAATGACATCGCCCATATAAGCAGCAGCATGTAGTGGTGTGCTTTGTTCTTGGTCCTGAGATTTTAAAAAAATATAAAATTATAGTCTAAATACAAATTTAATGTGCAATCGCAAGTAGCCTTCAGCATGTTGTAATTTGTAACACAACTCCTGAATTAAAACTGAGTAACACTACCAGTGAGTTGACATCTTCTTTGTGGTTCAGTAAAAATGTCACATCTTCTGTGTTCCGGCTGAATATGGCCTGGACCAATGGGGACTGAAAGAAAAATTAGTACAGGTAAATCAAACAACTTTTTTGTAGACATATACATATAGGACCAATTCAACATGAAAATCAAAAACTACAGGGACATAAATACATACATGCACAACCTCTTTCATCAAAGCTATATTTTTAACGCTAAAATATAAGTAATGTGGTTACCCACAAAGTTTCAAATTTACTTTTTTACAAAAAAGCTGAAAAAATTGTAAAGCACATCATTAGTTTTTGATTAAGATACCAAATTAAAGTTATTTAATTTAATTATTAATTAAGTTATTCCAAAATGGAAAAGTTTGTTTTAGTTGTTGAATGACCTATCTGGCTTCTCAGATAAATGTGCAGGCTCAAATTTAGGTAGAAAAATGTGAATTCAGTTTATCTGCCTAATGACCAACTACATAATTATTTTGACAGATTTCTAAAACTATACCTGTGTTTTCTTGTTTTTATGACAGTTGGTGTAATAAATTTGTTATGCACTGTACAGGAAAGATTACAATGACTCAGTTGACTTTCGTAAAAAGTATAATTAGACTTATGAAGCCTGCTTCAAAGACAACCGAAGAAAAAACAACAAGCATTTTAATTTGTCACATATGTCACTAAAGAAAAAGAAACTGAACTGTCTCAAGCACGTCCACCCACACATCCATTTTCTTCCTACTGGGAATATTCAGAATGCAGTGGCACATAATTAAGTGTGGACTATTTCAAATCTAACCACTGTACAAACGACAAATATATGTGAAATGTATATTTACAATAATTTTTGTGGGTTTTCAACTGTATTTACAGGAATACCAATGATCATAATGATACAGTTTCTAAGTACATTGCAAAATTAATGCATTAGACATCTAACTCTACAGAAACTCCAGCTTAAACTACATGTATCTTTACGGGGTGAGGAGTCTGTGACATTAGCCATCCTTGCAGAAAACTTTGCTCGTCACGCCGCTAACATGACTAGCCAGCTGATTGCAGTTGTGAGAACCGACAGGTTATTTAATGTTAAGTTCAGAAAAAGCTGTATTTACTACCTGGTCCTTGATATTTCTTAACTCCATATCCCAACCACCCGTGAAGCCCCTTCACTGATACTTGGTGTGAACTTGACTACATTGCAATCAATAAGTAGCAGCTAATTTAGCTTTAGCTTAGATAGCAGCTGGGATTGTATACAGCAAAGCTCCCAGAACATCGCGAGAAAAGTTAAAGAAACGTGATTTAAGTGTTTTTTTTTCTTTGGCTGTCTTTGACGTAATGTTAATAGTAGTAATGTTAGTAATGTAAATTTTGGTCAGATATTTGTTCTCGTATTTTTTTATAAGCATAAAAAATACGATGTATTTATGTAATTTTAGTTTAAGCTAAATATGCAATATGCTATTAGCTTGTTTCTAAAATCCTGGGGAAATATTTTGCCTTTAACGCAACTACATTTATTTTACTCATTAGACAGTCCCTATTTTTTTTTTTTTACTACAGATAATCATTTTACTTACTGATAACTTTTTAAACCTGCCAGGTTTCGCTCAGGGCAAAAAAAAAAAGAAGAGTAAAATCTAGATGACGTCACTACTTACAACATTTGCGCACATGCGCAGTGTGACAATAGCCTGCTGTTAACATGGGAAGATACTTTGCCGGATTTTAGCTTGGTAACGTGCTCAGCTACTCTCAAGATCTAAACACATGGAGCAACTTTACAACCAGCCTTAATTTTCACGGTCAAAACGCTGATTTTTTTTTTGACCCGCACAGCACACGTAGGTACGTTTCGTTTTTGTACTTGGTTGAAGTAACATTGGCCTAGCCATGCAGCTAATATATCATGGAAACTTGTTAGCTTGGTGGCTCATAACAGTAGTACAGTACTGTAGATTTATATGTTAGCGGATTTGTCGGGAGGATAGATGCCTGAACTTGTTCTGGAGTTCTGGGTAGTGTTAGGCAGTCATGTTTCTCTCTTTTTTTAATAGCTTCCAGGTTCACCTTGATGCAACATAGTTTATATTTAGTGTGGCTCACTGGCATGAGTATCAGGTGGACAGTACTATGGTGATATAAATTTTGTAGCTAGGAAAAAGCAAACAAAAATAAAATAGCAAATAGTGAGTAGAATAAAATAATTGAACTGATGAGAAATATTAGTAGATGAAGAGAGGGAGACTGACTGACTGACTGAATGAATGAATGAATGGCTCATTACTGCACTTGAAGGTGAAAACAAGGTGCTAACAGGATAATTACCAACCAATATCCGTAAAATCAAGTGAAAGCAGCATCCCTAATTAATATAGTCACTGGGTGACAGTTAGTGGAGTTACCCCGTTAATAAGGATCATTGTATAACCCCAAAGTGTCTTAAATGAAGAAGGATCATCATCTCTTCTTACGACTTTTAAAATGACAAAAGATGCCATAATAACCTAATAAATGCAGTAAAAACACACACTAAATTACCCCTGTTTTAAAGTTTAAGCTTAGTATCTTAATTTTAGTTGATCTTCAATCCAAACTCAAACTGGGCTTTTCTAAAGTAAGGATCACTACTGCACGTGAAGTGTGTGCGTTTCCTTGATAGACCGGGTTTTTGCAGTAGTTTATCCTGGTTGAAGAGTTTAGCTCTCATTCGACCAGACAGACCTGTGTGCTGGCATTGGATTTGGATATATATTTGGATTTTATATTTTGGGAACAGTTTTGGTTCTGCTTATTTTTCATATTTTTTTTAAATTGTCATGCGACAGAGAGGTTGGTGTATCATGATCATTCTTTTTTTGTTCTTTTGTTTGTTAGTTTTTTGCTTATTGTGACTTATTTATGTAAGATCTTTTTCAACATAGGGCGTAAAAGTCCTTGAGGGCTGTGACATTAGAGACCAGTTTCTGTTTGGGAGTTGTCTTGTATGTAGTGATAGGAAAAGCTGCATCTTGCAGATTAGATTCATTAATGTTCATTGGGCTAAGTTAACAAATGGCTGACTAAGCAATGTGAATTTTTACTACTCCAACAATTTTTTCTTTTTCAAAATTAATTTAGATGAAGAAAGTAAATCCAACTTTACAAGGTGTTCAAATTTTAATGTTTGACAGAACTGATGAAATAAGTTGACGTCTTTGCAAATGTCACACTGGTGACATTAATAAGTCATATTTATATTAAATGCAGAATCACGTGATTATGATTGAAATCAACTCACTACTGCTGGAAAGCTGATTTTCTTTCATCACAGTTTAAATGTGTAACTGAAAGAGTTACACAATCTATGATTCTAATCAAGGTCACGCTGGGACTAGTACAGCACACATCCACACCGGAATGTGAGGCGTAGGGCAGATAGCTTTATTTAGTTTACTTTTTTTGCTGTGTCTGTCCCTTTTTGCAAAGCTGCTTCTAGCAGTGAGCGTAATAATAAAGTTGTTGACGTGTAGCAGTCTGGTGTCACACATGACTGTCAATGCGCAAACTGAGATCTTGGCAATAAACAGTGGACCTGAGTGCGTCAGTGCAGAAAAAAATAAGAAAACAAAAAGTATACACACACACACACACACACACATGTGCGCGTGGAAGTGACAGGACAGTTAACTGAAATTTCTCTTACTGCTGTTTATGTGGAGAAACAGAACCTTTGCTTTAAGACATGATGGCGTGAGATCAATTTTATGTTTAAAAACTTGTGCAAGGAATGATGAGAGAGGGGAGTCACATGGTCATTAAGCTCAGGACAATGCATGAGTGAGAGTGAGGGTGGTCTCTGTTAAGGGACTTGCTGTGCTTTTGTAAGTCCAGAAAGTGATCCCTATGTCAATAGCATGACTTTGATCGTGAATTGTTTATTAGCAATTGCTTGTTCATATTTCATGGTTATGATAACTACACAATAATGCCACTCTGCATAGTTGCAAAGGTATTTGAAACCTTATTTTCAGTTTCTCCAGTTGTGGCTTCTGGCTTTGACCACAGGAGAGCACATGAGGCCGGAGAGGCTGAAAATGAAGAAAGTGTTTTGTGGCCCAGAAATCAGCAACTTAAATCCTGATGGTTAGATCTAAACAATTAAAAGCTTCATTTAAAAAGTTCATTATGTATTTATTTATTTTTTTGATTTCTTCATTCATTTTGTGCAGTTTCACAAAGGTGCGAAGAGGTGCAAAAACAAGTTAAAATAAAATATGTAGCAGTCTGTCTCCAGCTGTATGGCATGTCAACAGGAACGAGAAGGATCGTGGACAGCTTGATGTGGAAATCTGATAATTTTTCCTCCCAGGGATACAATCATAAAAAAAAAACTTGCTGCTCTAAATGAACTTTTTAAACAGAAAGCAGGTGGAAACTAAAGGCTTGAGGTAAAAATTAGATCGTTTTAATAGCTTCAGTAGAAATGTCAAATCACATTGTCCAAATAAATACATTAAAAAATATTTTTGAATTTATTTAGTTTATGCATTCCCTTTTACGTTTTTTTTTTTTTTTTGTTTCTTAGCTTTCTGCCACATCTTTAAGACTGTTAATTTAAATACTGCTGCTGAGGAAACTTCCAGGGAACATGTCGTCTTATAATTAATCAGGTCACATGATCAGGTGAAAGAAGTGGCACTGGAAACTTTGGTGGTTGGAAAAGCTGCCGAATCTTCACCATCTGCTCCTTGTCACATGGTCCTGCTGTGTGTCATGTGCTTTCCGTGGCCCTTTGCTCTCTCTTTGTCAAACATCATGGTGTTATAAAAGTTATTTTGCAAGACTGAGGTTTCACATTTCATTCCTCAGTTTCCGTTACGAGCAGCACAGAGTGTGTGGTAGAAGTGAAACTTGGCTGACAGTGGTCAGCTCAGTGTTTCCTGTTAGACGATCCCATTAATGTAGTGTCCTTTGACTTGCTTTTAATGTTGCTTAGTCATTGTTATGACCTTCAACGTTCAGTGTTTTTCAATTTGTTTTCTTAAAGAGGAACAGAAATTGCTGCACAGTCATGTCTCGTGTTAAATAGTTTGTTCTTCCTTTTGAAAAATGTGTTTTGTTATAAAATTTTTCTGCACTCATGTTTTAATTCTCAGATTATGCAACTGTTGTCTTTTTGCAGGGAGGCTGATATTCATCCCTCATCTTCCCAGGGATCCCTCAGCCTGCCCTGATGAAGCCCAAGCAAGACGGAGACCTCCTGGAAGGTACACGTTTAAGATGACTGAAACATGACCCTTAAAATACAGACCCACTCAACATGTTGTCCAATATTAAACACTTTGGACATTTGGCTGTGGCTGGAGGCATATTCTGAGTCACAGGGAGCTTAATATTCAGATTATAATCAGCAAAAAATCTGAACGAGAATAAATCAGAAGAAGAATTGTAAGTGACTCCGATTACTTCCTGGCTGACTACTTTATGCACACCTGTGGTGATATCTTGTCTTCCCAAAAAATAGCTTCCTCCCAGCTGAAATGATTCTCTGTGAAGAGATTTAAGAGCAGCACAACAAAACCTGAACAGACTGCAGATATTCATGTTCAGAAATCTGAACCAACAGGTGTCAAAAAACTGACAAGAAAGCAATTTAAGAAGTCAAATGCATTTTTCCGTGTAATCCCCACTCTGTATTATAATTACACCAATTATGACCAGTAACATGAGCCAGTGAGTACACTGATAGCTGCTGTAACAGTGTTTTCCTTTACGACTTTAAATTAATAAATAAAACATGGTCCATCTTTTTAAAAGGCACACAGTGTGTTTACTGTGATAAACAGTAAAAACTCTGACGCTAATAAAACTTTGTCGCTAACTCAGATTCTTTGAAAAAACTGTCTGTGCTTTTTTTCCCATGTGTGAGAAAGGGCGAGTTTTGTAATGTATTGACTTCCTCGAGCATAGTGCGTGCGCCATATTTACTTCTCTCTCTGTGTGGGTCATTTTTAGAAAGGCGGGGTCACAGTGTCCTCGTAACAGCTCATGTCTAAAAAAAAAAATGATGATAAAGGCAACGTCATATAAAAGCTAATACTTAGGCAACTGTGGACTTTAGGACCTTAGTGAGTTGGAGATGGAGGGGGCAAGACATGAAAAGTCCAAACTCAGTGAGTAGCAGTTCTCTGCATTTACATGCACTTTGGACAAACTATTATAGATCTGTTGCTTTATTTTAATCTTGGAGTTGTTTTTTAGTTGAATTTCTTTTGTTTTTTGGTGTTTTCATGTAGTTCTTT